GGGAGATTCGGGGTCTTGAGCCATCCCGAGTTCCGCGGGGGGGGCAAGCGGGCTGGTGGGCCCCTTCCGGCTGGTGTCCAGGGTGGCACCCCGTTCCCCCCGGACGGGTCCGGAACGAAGGTGAGGGGATTTACTCTCGGGCCTAGGGGGGAGCGCCACGCTGGCGCGAGTAACCAAGGCCGAGTTTCCCGTCCGTTCTTCGGGAAGGGTGGTCTGCAAAGCCGCGGGGCAGAACGGTTACTCCCTCGCCGACGCCTTCCCCGCGCCCGGAGGCGAGGGCGGGCTGGGGCCCAACGGCGGGCATCCTGCTCCCCCCAAAGGGCGGCGCAGCGGCCGGGGGCGAGGGGGGGGAGGACCCGGCGGGCCCGGCGGCGCGGCTGCGCGCGCTCAAGGCGTGGCTCGAGGGCACCGGCTCGCGCGACGCCCCGCTGGTGCCCGCGGACATGCTGCGGCTCTCGCCAACCTCCGTGCAGAGGGCAGAGGCCGAGCTGCGGGCGATGGCGGCGGCGGCGGCGGCCCCCGCGCAGGCGGCGGCGGCGCCCCTCGTCGTCGAGCTGCCCGCGACGCAGCTGCTCTGCCCGACCGAGCCGCGCGTCTCCGTCGCCGGCGTGACCGCGGCCCACGCACCGGGCGAGGCGGTCCTGTACGTGCGCGGCTCCGGGCCGGTGCCGTTTGGGGAGCGAGGCATCGTGCTGGCGACGCAGGGCGCGCGCTGCGAGGTCATCTTCGAGCACGAGGGCTTCTGCTCGTTTGGCCACTTCTCGCGCCTCGAGACGTCGCGCGCCGCTGTCGTCCCCGCGGCCGCGCTGCTAAACCTCTCGCGCCCCCCTCGGTCCAAGGCGGCCGACGCGCCGCCCGACGCGGCGGCAGCCCTCTTCGGAGGCGGCAGCGACTCCTTCGCCGCCTTCGCAAAGGGCACGAACCCGTATGCCGTGCTCAGCCAGGCGCCGGCGGAGTGAGCCGCGCGCGGAGCCCCCTCAATGAACTCGAGAGTCGCGGTGGCGCTCGTGCGCGGCGGCTCACAGACGAAGGGGACTGTGAACAAGGCAGTAGCTAGAGGGAGAGCGCGCAGCGGGCGCTGCTGCTGAAGGGGCGCTCTCTGCTCTCTCTCGAGAGTGTAACACGTTTGTGAATCACAAACGTGAAGTCGCATGGATTTGCCGCTTCAATCAACGAAGTCGGTGGTCAGGGAGCCATCTCATACATTTCAGGTCTCAGTAAGCCGTATACTCAGACTCACGTCCGCAGCCGAGGTCTCGCAGCTTCTGCGTTCTGGGTCGTGGGTGCCGCCACCTGCGCCCCTCACTAAACAAAAGACATGCGACATAAAAAGAGATAGCAGCGCGGCCTGCTACCCTCCCCCGCGCTCCTTTGATGGCACGGGCGACGGAACCGACGACCCTGCAGTGCCTGTCGCGCACAAGCAGCAGAGGGAATAAGAGAGAACCCGGTGGAGTTGGTGCCGTGGCTTGCACCTGCGAGAGCTGAGAGGAGCGCAATAGCGCAGACGATCGCGAAGCAGCGTGTGCTCTTTCGCGGCCTGCGGTCGAGCTTGCGGCAAAAGGGGCAGGTCGTCGAGTACTCGAGCCAGGCCTGCGGATGCATGGGCACGCGGTTTGCCGAGGCCGACCGCAATGGCTCTCTCCGGTGTGGCTGAATGCACCTCGTGACAGCGAGCGTGAGTCCGATTACCGCAGTAGCGGCACTGCCACGTAGCTCCTGTCATTGCACCTGAAAGAAGCGAGGAGCAGCTCAGTCAGAGCCCAGGAGGTTGGGCTGGCACTCTCTTTCTTGAACCGCACCGAGGCAGATGGCGCACTCAGCTGGCGGGCTCCGAGCCATGGCGCGAGCTCGTGCTGCCTCATCGCAAGCCGCATCGATCGCATCGCACTCGCGCTGGATCTCCTCGGGGCCCAGCCGCTTGAGGTCTCGCCTCCTCGCGAGCCGCCGCTGCTGATTGAAGAAGGGCATCGCGGGACGGACGTTTGCGCATCGGCCGCCCAATGTGATACTGCCGTAAAAGACAAAAAAAGGAATCGTCGGCTGAGCACTTGAGCACTTGATAGGGTCGATTCCGCATGGTACGGGACCCCTCGACCGTCTCGCCCTCCCTCACTGTGAGTGTGAGTGAGTGAGTATTCTTGATACGAAACCACGACGCCGAGGCGGAGGCGGTGGCGGCGGTCCTCTCTTCCGGCGCCGCGACAGCCTAAAGTCGCTCGACCTCGGCGCAAACGCAATCTCCGACAAGGGCGCCGGCCACTCTCTCGCCTAGCTAGCCGCTAGCCCTCCCTAGCCCTATAACCGCCATCGCCCTAACCGCCCTGCCCTAGCCCTACCCGCCCTGGCCCTGACCGCCCCTGACCGCCCTAAGACCCCGGAGCGCCCAGCGCCGTGACAGCGGACCTCCTGTGGCCGAGACAGAGTGTGTGGCCCCGCCCTCTCCGGCAGGCGCCCACGCACTCACCGCCTCCATCGAGGGCGCGCCGGCGCTGAGCTTCCTCAACCTGCTCTGGAATTTTCAGAAAAAGAAATTTTCCGCGAAAATCACGATGTCAACCCTCCCCAAATGGGTGATCTGGTGCTTGTAGGGCTTGAGAGTGGCCTGCCATGTCACAGGAAGGACTGTGGTTGCAGGAGAGTACCACCAACCATCACTTTAGTTGGTATGGTACCCCACCTTCACCCATCGGGTGATTTCTTTTTTAGTTTCCCATAAGTAGGGTAGGTAGGTAGGTAGGTAGGGGCAGGGCAGGGCCGGAGGCTCGAAAAAAGAATACACGCCGATAGGTAAAAAGACGGGCCGACGCGGACGGCGCGGACTGGCACTTCCTCGGGCGCGGCAGCAGCGAGCGCGAGCGCGAGCGAGCGGCATCTACATGGACGCGCCGCTGCTCGGGCAGTGCGTCGTGCTCGGCGGGCTCTCCTCCCGCCCCGAGCTGAACGGGCAGCGGGGCGTGGCGGGGAGCTTCGAGGGCGGGCGGTACGCGGTGGCGCTCGACGGCGGCGGCGCGAGCGTGCGTGTGCGGCCGGGTAATCTGTCGCCGGCGGCGGCGGAGCCGGTGTCAGGCAGTGTCGCGCGCTCCGACGTCGTGGCAGCAGTTGAGCAAGGCGAGGAGGAGGCAGTGCTGGCGTGGATCGAGAGCGGCGGGCGGGTCGACACGACGTACGAGAGAGGCGGCGTGAGCGGCCTCACGCTGCTGATGGGCGCCGCAATCGGAGGCCACGAGCGGGTGGTCGACTTTCTGCTGCAGCACGGCGCGGAGATCAACAAGCAGGACAGCGACGGCATCACCGCGCTGATGCACGCCGCCAGCCGAGGCCACGAGCGGGTGGTCGAGCTGCTGATACGGCGCGGGGCGGAGGTCAACCTGCAGAGCAGCGACGGCTTCACCGTGCTGATGTACGCCGCTTTCTTCAACCACCCCGCCGTTGTGCGGCGCTTGCTGCGGGCGGGCGCAGACGCGGCGGCGCGCGGTGCGAGCGGCAAGACGGCGCTGCAGGTTGCCAAGGAGGAGGGCCACACCGAGTGCGTCAAGGTCTTGTCGGAGGCGGCGTTGGCTGCGGAGGGCCGAGCAGGGGCGGACGGTGCTTCGTCGGGCGTGGCAGCGGCAGCTGAGGACGCGCCGCTGCTCGGCCAGCGAGTCGTGCTTGGCGGGCTCTCTTCCCGCCCCGAGCTGAACGGGCGGCGGGGCGTGGCTCAGAGCTTCGAGGGCGGGCGGTACGCTGTGGCGCTCGAGGGCGGCGAGAGCGTGCGGGTGCGGCCGGGTAATCTGTCGCCAGTGGCGGCGGAGCGGGCGTCGAGCGGTGGCGTGCCAGTCTCCGATGCGGTCATCGCGGCAGCTAACCGAGGCGACGAGGCGACGATACTGGAGTGGCTTGAGGGCGGCGGGCGGGTCAACGCGACGTACGAGATCGGCAAGTTGAGCGGCCTCACGCTGCTGATGGCTGCCGCCGGCAAAGGCCACGAGCGGGTGGTCGAGCTGCTGATACGGCACAGCGCGGAGATCAACCTGCAGAACAGCAACGGCCACACCGCGCTGATGCTCGCCGCCAGCCAAGGCCACGAGCGGGTGGTCGATTTGCTGCTGCGGCACGGGGCGGAGCTCGACCTGCAGCACATCAAAGGCTTCACCGCGCTGATGATCGCCGCCCTCGTCAACCACCCCGCCGTTGTGCGGCGCTTGCTGCGGGCGGGCGCAGACGCGGCGCGCACTGTTGACGGCAAGACGGCGCTGCAGCTGGCCAAGGAAAAGGGCCACACCGAGTGCGTCAAGGTTTTGTCGGAGGCGGCGGCGGCTGCAGACGGCCGGGCAGGGGCGGGCGGCGCTTCGTCGGGCGCGGCAGCGGCAGCGGTGGACGCGCCGCTGCTCGGCCAGCGAGTCGTACTCGGCGGGCTCTCTTCCCGCCCCGAGCTGAACGGGCGGCGGGGCGTGGCTCAGAGCTTCGAGGGCGGGCGGTACGCGGTGGCGCTCGAGGGCAGCGGCGAGAGCGTGCGGGTGCGGCCCGGTAATCTGTCGCCGGCGGCGGCGGAGCGGGCGTCGAGCGGTGGTGTGGCAGCCCCCGAATCGGTCATCGCAGCAACGGAGCGTGGCGAGGAGGAGGCGGTGCTGGCGTGGCTTGAGGGCGGCGGGCGGGTCGACACGACGTACGAGAGAGGCGGCGTGAGCGGCCTCACGCTGCTGATGGCTGCCGCCGGCAAAGGCCACGAGCGGGTGGTCGAGCTGCTGATACGGCACAGCGCGGAGATCAACCTGCAGAACAGCAACGGCCACACCGCGCTGATGCTCGCCGCTGGCAACGGCCGCCCCGCCGTCGTGCGGCGCTTGCTGCGGGCGGGCGCAGACACGGCTGCGCGCACCACGAGCGGCATGACGGCGCTGCAGTGTGCCAGTCTGCCGCCCTTATCCTTGGCACACGCCGAGTGCGTCGAGGCCTTCAGGCAGCACGTCCAGGATATGCTGGCGGGACAGACCACGGCGGCGGCAGCCGGCGGCGCAGACGCAGGCGGCGCTTCCTCCGGCGGCGCTCCCTCGGCTGGATCGAGCGTCGCGAAGACGATATCTCCAGCAGTGGCGGCGGAGCAGGCGTCGAGCGGTGTCTCGGCAGCCCCCGATGCGGTCGTGGCAGCGTCGGAGCGAGGCGAGGAGGAGGCGGTGCTGGCGTGGCTCGAGGGCGGCGGGCGGGTCGACGCGACGTACGAGCAAGGCGGCGTGAGCGGCATCAAAGGCGGCGTGAGCGGCCTCACGCTGCTGATGGGCGCCGCCTTCCACGGCCACGAGCGGTTGGTCGAGCTGTTGCTGCAGCACGGCGCGGAGATCAACAAGCAGGACAGCGACGGCATCACCGCGCTGGTGGGCGCCGCCAACGGCGGCCACGAGCGGGTGGTCGAGCTGCTGATACGGCGCGGGGCGGAGGTCAACCTGCAGGGTAGCGACGGCAGCACCGCGCTGATGAACGCCGCCTTGAAAGGCCACGAGCGGCTGGTCGAGCTGCTGATTCGGCACGGCGCTAGAATCAACTTGCAGAGCAGCGACGGCTTCACCGCGCTGATGGCCGCCACCTACTCGAACCACCCCGCCGTCGTGCGGCGCTTGCTGTGGGCTGGCGCAGACGCGGCGCCTACCTCTGACGGCAAGACGGCGCTTCAGTGGGCCAAGAAGCAGGGCCACACCGAGTGCGTGCGCGCCCTCGAGGAGCACTCGTCGGCCGCAGCAGAGGCGGAGGGGGAGACGGCAGCGGCCGAACAGGCCGCGGCGGCCGCACGCGAGGCGGCAGCGGCTGCAGAGGCGGCAGAGGCGCGCGATGCTGCCGAGTCCGCGCTGCGCGAGGCGGTTGAGGCGTGCGGCCGAGGCGACGCCGATCTCGAGGCGCTCAGGGCGGCGATCAACGCAAACACCGAGGCCGCCGACGGCTCGGAGGCGCTGCGGGCGGCGCGGCGGCTGCGCGACGAGCTGGCGGAGCGAAAGACCCGCGAGGCCAGGGCGCTGAAGCGGCAGCGGCAGAAGGAGGAGAAGGCGGCGGCGAGGCAGGCGGAGGCGGCGGCGCGGGCGGCGGAGGAGGCGGAGGCGGCGGCGCGGGCAAGGGAGGAGGAAGAGGCGAGGGCAAGGGAGAAGGCGGCAAGGGAGAGGGAGAAGGCGAGGATGAGGGCGGCAGCGGAGGCGGCGGAGGTGGCGGCGGAGGCGGAGGCGGCGGCAGCGGTGGCGGCGGAGGCGGCGGCGGAGGCGGCAGC